GAGAGAGCGCAGTTTGTCTATAAGGATTATTTAGGGGACTGGGGAAAAGGAACCTTTTTGGCTGTAGCTACAGTGATTTGTTGCTAGCCAGACATCAGAGTGGGAAATTAGGAAGTTAACTTCAAACTCCAGAGCAGAACACATAAAATACAATGACAAAAACAGTTGCAAAACACAGGCAATGACATCAGTGATTTGATGTCATTGGCAATAACAACAAAAACAAAAGTAAACAAATGTGACTTTAACAGATTAAAGAGGTTTTGCATGGCAAAGAGGGACTTGGGCTAAAAGACACAGTACTTAATGGAAGAAAATAGTCACTAATACCCAAGATACATAAATATTTACAAAGTACAGTGACAGAAACCAATTAACCAATCAAAATATTGGAGGAGATGAAAATACTTTCCCAAAGAAGACAGACAACCAGTAGATATATGAAAATGTGTTGACACTTATTATCAGGGAAATACAAAACTGACAAGAGATATACACCATGAGGTTACTTCTCAAAGAGTGGAAACACCTACTGGTGCTAAAAGCATAGATACACCCAATACCTTAGAAGTCAATGCTATTCTAACCTTATTAAACATTAAAATAAATGAACACCACCTCCCACACTAACAGCTCTGGTTAATGGCTGTCCTCTTGTAATTAGAATGCATTTTTGTGGGCATTCTTTGCTTAGGCAGAATGGTAGAGGAACTAAACATTCCTCAGCAGTTCCACATACTGTTTATAATCATACAAAGCAAGTTTACATAAAATTGCTGTTGAGGTGTTTAATAAGATACATCTCTTTTTTGACAAAGTTCTTTAAGACTATAAATAACTAATTGTGGTAAGCATGCCATCTGTTGGTACAGTCACAGAAATGTCAATGAAGAGAGTAAAATCAATTTGTTTGAGATTAGTCTTCTGAGAGTAAGCACTATGTCCTATTTATATGGCAACAGTCATTGTAATGAACCGCAAAAGGCATAGTAGTATTATTTTGAAATGTCTTAGTTGGAGTTCTCATTTGTGTCATCTATTACATTTTCAAAAAATATAACTGATGTTTTATTTCAGGCTAATGTTTTTGGGTTACATGCCATGGAATAGACATCCATATCATATTACGAGTTATTTTGATCATAAATGATATAACACAACTGTCAAGTCATATGCACAAAAGGAAAGCCTAATGCTAGCACTTACATTAATAACTAATATCCATTATTTACTATGTACCAACAATGGTCCTAAGCAATTTAAGTATTTAATCAATTTAGTAATATATTTTGTATGTACGAAGTATCTTATCATCTTGATGAGGAAATTTCCAACCTGAAGATGAAGAAATTGAGGAAATAAGGGTTACAGAACTTCCCCCTAGTTTACTACTAAGGATGGCTGCAGGATTTGAAATATATAACTTAATCCATGAAGTTATTCACCTCAGACTTTCAGTGGTTGTATATGTACAGAATTCCACCTGTAAGTTCAACTCCCTCATTTAAATTTGCTATTCAGGGTCTCACTAGATCCAACTTAACACATGCTTTTCTCAGATAGCTACCGATAAAACTACACACCAGCTCTTCTTTCATTGTGGGGAATACATTTATTTAGATACATATTTCTCATTCTGATACTAAAAGACGATTTAGTCTTTAAAAGAATCAATTTGATAGTGAATATTTAGAAATATGGTACACAAGGACACCACAGAATATTAAAATGCACAGTTTTAAAACTATTTTCTCATGAGCTCTAACCAAGAGATGGTTGGCTGCTTCCAACAGGTAACAATTTGAACAAAGATACCAGGTATTTTAGGAGAGTCATTTAAAACCATTTGCTCATGCAGACACTTAGAAGCTTTTTAAAAATATAAATATGACAAATATATGAATTTCTGAAGTATAATCTGACATACAAATCTATATATTTCCGTATTTCTCATTAAAGCATCGTTAAAGAAGCATTCTGTAACATGAACTCGAGTCAAATTAGATGTGATGGAAAGACATGAGGCTTTATTAGACTGTGTAATTCACATACTGAATATTTACATAAAGGTAAACAGAAAACTGCAAAACAAATTGCAAACATTTTTCTTCAAGTCATCAACTTCAGAAAATTGCCTATTAAAGTAACCGTAAAGTTCCTAATTTTGAAAACAATAAGAAAATAGGTATAAAAACAACATGAAAAAAACCAATTCTTCTTTTAGGAATCGGTGAAGAAGCAACATAATTGCCCCACCCCTCACCCCGGATTGTCAAAGCTTTCTTAGAACTCCCTGGGGATACATTCTTCTGTAAAACAGTTTAAAAATGTATAGATACTCACAACTCTGAATATATTAGTGAAATATGCTTAAATATCCTCATCCTTCATTTCTCCCAAAAGGCAGTTCCAAAAGAAAAATTACATATATATACACATATATGTATATGTGTGTGTGTATATATATGTATATATATACTCACCCTAAAAGCTTGAGTAAGATTGCTACTAGTTCATTTACCCAGTAGTGCCAAGGGGCTGTTTCTGGCTACTGGCTGGGGGTGGAGGAAAGAAGGTTGCTCTGGTAAGTACTTGGTAGATCATGTGGTTTGAGTCTTTAAATATGGGTCTCCTGCATGCAAAGCATGCATTCCAGCCCACTGAGCTATCTTTATGGCCACATTAAAAATTTTAAGAGAATAGTTATTTTGCACACTAGCTAGCTTGATGGAACCTAATATGCATGTTCAGAAGAACATATTCTTAAAAAGGGAACTTAAAATAGGAAACCTTGCAGGATCATATTATTAGAGAAATTAACATAAAAAAATTTCTTGAATATTTTACAGTTGTGTTCTTTAATCATGATTTACAAATCAGAATCCTCCCAAGAACTTAAAATACCAGTTTAATTGTGAACTAGGGTCCATATTAGGACTCTGGATGATTCTAAAATGAAGCACTGAGAAAGATTGGTTAGGGAAAATTATTTACACAGGGTGCACTTGATTGAAATAAATTCTAAAAAAATCAGACATACGAGCAGTATGTTTTCCAAGATGATTCTTTCCCTATAGTACACCCTTTATCTTTCACAGCGCTATAGGAAACTATCAAAGTATTACTAAAATCCTTTATTATGATTTGATGTCTTTAGAGATTTCTTCCTGCTTTTCTAACTATCCTCAAACTCAGATCAAACTTAGAAACATATAGATATACGGGCAGAAAATATGAACACAGGATTTCATTTTTCAAGTTGAGTTACATGAGGTATTTCCACCTTATATCTGAAGTTACAAAGTCATAGTTTAAGAAGAAGACTGGGTATTGCTTTAACGCTAAATGGCATCTCCTAGATTAAAAGTAAATTCCCTTTGGTGTCAGTGCTTGCTTTAAATTGTCTAAAAATAATCAAAGGCAGATCCTCAGGGAATCTAGTAAGAGTAGTTCTTTAACATATAGTGTTTCCTGTGACTATTCATAGAATTTCTTAAAAGAAGTTTCAGGAATATGGTTTTTGAAAAACAAAATTTGAAATTGATGATCTCAAAGGAATAGAACAGTTTTTGCTACATAATCCAAAATCTGTTACTATCCCCAGGATGAGAGCTTGAGCTTTAACATTTAAAATTATAACCAACTTTATTAAGTATTAAGCGCTCATTTCAAATATATGTCAACTCATGAAAGTATCTGATTTGTATTTACTTTTCAACCTAATAGTTCTCAGGTTTGTTTGCTAAAACTAATTTATTAATCTTTACATTAGGCAATCACTGAATTTTGGTTAACATAATTGCACAAAATGGAAAATGCTATAGCAACTTGTTCTCCATATTTAAGTCTGATGGAATTAAGTTGCATTATAATTTTTATGAAAGCTCAGTAGTCAAAATAAATATTTAATAAAAATATATACCACCATAAAATAAGAACTTAGTGTTTAAAAATAAACTGTTACATTATTTTGTCTTCAATTAAGCAGCCCTCAAATCAGTCACTTTAGATATCTTTAAGACTGAGTAAAAGGTGTCATTTTGGAGACATTTGAAATTGTGTTTTAACATAAAAGAGATGACACTAAGATGAAAGCAAAATTGTTTTCACTGCAAAGTTTAAATAAAGTTATTGGGACTTTTTATAACTATAACCCTAAGAAACATGAGCAGTTTGGAGAAAAAAAAGTCAAAAATAGTTATGAATATAAGGTTCATCTTGTAAAACTTTCAGTATGGAAAAGAAAATACAGTATATATGAGCACCATTAGAAATATATATGTGTGTATATATATATATACGTGTATATATCTAAAACTTTACTTGGTGTAAAATTCATTTTAGTGGGAAGAACAAAAACACAATTATGAAAATATATTCTTAAGCTAATATGTCAGATGATTTAAAAATATTTCATCTGACATCCTTCTAAAAACCAACAATGGGTAGAAGATGGTAAAGGTGTTAAGGTGCTTGCCTTATGTGCACACCACATGGTTTCCCAAGCACTGCTAGGAACAGCAGAGCTGGGAGTAGTACCCCAGATACCTCTGGGTCTAGTCCAAAACCTCCTGGGGACTGGTGCCCCAACAAAATACAATAAAGGAAGACATAAATTCTTTGTAGTGCAAAGCAAGTCCAAACAGAAGGGAAATGGAGGGAAAAAAATGTGCTCAATTAGTACTTTCAATCTATAGACAGATTCCAATAGGTGAAGAATAAAAAATGGAGTTAGATAACAAAGGAAATTCACAAGTATACTAGTGCAAGTTGGAATTGTCCCAAAGGAATTGTCATTCAGGTCTCAGATTATTTTAAATTCTGAACAGATAAGACAATTCTGCTGGAAGATTATTTCATCTGTAGCAAAAATGATAAATTTGCCATCCACGTTTATTATTTTTTTCTAAATCCACCATAATTTTATGTAGTCCATATCGTGGGGTGAGAGGTCATTAATGGAAATCTTACTTTGAACCTACACAGACATATCTCAGAAGACTGTTGTATGTCCTTGTTATTTTTCAAAGCTTCCATTACAAGAAACCACATAATACAGACTGAAGTTCTTCAAAAAGTAATGTCACATGATGAAATGAAGCACAATGCTATTCACCATTTAAAATACGTTCAATCTCTTCCAGTCTTTTTAAAGCAGCAACTCTTTTTTTCTCAATTTCTTTTATTTCTTTTGTTGTTTTCTGAGGGATCTCTTTGTCTGTGTTTTTTCCTAATTGTTTTTGGGATTTAGGTTGACTTTTATTTTCATTTGTTTTTATGGTCTGTGTAGATTTGGAATCACTTTTGATTTCTTTTACATGATTTTCAGAGATTTGGTCTCCAGCTGCACCTAAAGTCTCTTCAGCTGGGAGTACCTGCTGTTCTACAAAACTAGCTGAGGAAATCTTATCCCTGACTATATTCAAATGGCGCTGAATGTATTCTTCATGTGGTGCCAACGCCAATGTTTCAACCAGGCATCTTTCAGCTTTTAGCAGGTCCTTCTCTTCAAAATAAACAACACAGAGATTGTGTTTTCCTTGAACATTGCGTGGATCCATCTCTAAAATCTTTTCAAAACATTTTTTGGCCCCAGATATATCTTTCTTTTGATTCATCAAAATGTCTCCCTTTAAAATAAGACCCTTGATATGATCAGGATAGTATCTGAGTAACTCTTCCAAAATTGGTAAAGCCATTAATTCCTTTGAAGTCTGAGAATATAGGAGAGCCAAATTAAACAAAGCACTTCTGAAATCAGCTTGTAATTTTATGGCTTTTTTCATCCACATCTCTGCTTCAGTATCCTTTTTGTCATCCATGGCAAGCATTCCCAGATTGAAATAACCATTTGCATCTTGCGGTTCTTCATTTATATAGCTTAGAAGTCGTTTTCTAGCTTCAGGTCTGAATTTAGCATCACCTTGGAAATTTTTTTAAACAAAAACCATATTGTTAGAAACTCTGAGGATCAAAGCACTTAACTTGGTCACATAACCTCTCCCCCACTCCAACAAAAAGAATTAAAACAATTGTTATAGTGTATAAATACTGTGTGCTAACCAATTGCGCCACTGGAGCTCCTGGAGCATAGCAGGTAGGGTGTTTGCTTTGCACATGTCTGACCTGGGTTCGATTCCTCCGTCCCTCTCAGAGAGCCCAGCAAGCTACCGAGAGTATCCCGCCTGCATGGCAGAGCCTGGCAAGCTCCCCGTGACATATTCAATATGCCAAAATCAGTAATAATAAGTCTCACAATGGAGACGTTACTGGTGCCCGCTCGAACAAATCGATGAACAACGGGAGGACAGTGCTATAGTGCTACAGTTATAGCATACCTAATCAGAAAGCAAAACACTTAAAAAGTTTCATAAGAAAAAGTACTGAATGAAGATAGAATAAAATAATAAAATGCACAAAAATGAGGATTATAAATCTATTTCTTGATGGACTATTAAAATGTTTTCATAATAGAGATCCTGATTTATTTTTTGAAATTACAGAAAATACAGGCAATAAATTGGTATCTCAGAAACAATGGAACTGGATACAAATTGAAACCAAAAGTATTTGGTATTCCTTAACAACAACAAAAAATCAGACTTCCTAAAAGCATTTTCACACATATTAGAACTATTCACTTGTATTATCAAAATGCGTAATTTTGATACAAACGATTTTTGAAACATTGGCCATGTATAAGACTTTATTACGTCACAGTTTACAATCAAGTTGGAAAGTTTTGAACAAACATACCTGATTCTTGCATTAATATAGCAGAATTAAATAATGCTAGCTTATGCTTCGGATTTAGTTCTAAAGCATGATTGAAATTTCTTAGGGCTTCATTTGGTTCTTTAAGTTCAATATAAACAATTGCCAAATTGTACCAAAGATCTGCATTGCTTCTATCCAATTCAAGTGCTTTAAGGTATGCTTCTTTTGCTTTAAGAGGTTTATTCATTTTTAAAAGCAATTCTCCTCTGTGGAAAAAAATTAAAAACAAGCTTAAAAACAACTAAACAACTGAATTGTCCATCACTATAATAAGAGGTTATAGATACTATTTTCCAACAGTTTTAAGCTTTTCTTTTCTGCTCTCCTTTATTCTTTTCATTTAGGCTGTTAAATGAACATTTTCCCAAGTAATAGATATTAAAGGTCAACCGGTACATGAAATTTGCTTAAACACTGCAAGTCATTAAGGAGCTATGAATTCAAACCACAGTAACACCTCTTCCCTTTGAGAATTGTCATCATCAAAAAAATGTAACATAACAAATGTTGAGAATGTAGAGAAAAAGGTACCATAGAGATTATAAATTGGTTCAACCACCACTATGGAAGACAGCATGAAGGCTTTACAAAAATAGAACTAGCAATTGTTCTCGGAAAATCTTTAAAGGACACACACACACACACACACACACAGTGTGTGTGTATATATAAACATATATATATAAATTCAAAATTATATCTGCACATGAGGAGAAAAATGGTATATGATATAAGGTTCTTGTCTTGCATGTGGCCAACTCCTGAAGGAACACTGCCAGGGATTACTCCTGAGCACAGAAGCAGGCAGACCCCTACATCACAAATGGTGTCGGAGCCCCGCAAGGAATGATCCCTGATCATCATCTTAAGACCACTGTATGTGATCTTCAAATCACAAACTAATAAAAAGATCAGATTTGTGATTACCCAAGATGAAGGGCGGTGAAGACAGAACTGAAAGAAGGTGGTCAAAAGCAAGATCATGGGGTCACGGGATAATTAAGAAGGGCACATATTTGCATTTACTTGGGCCTCAGTTGGAATATGGGCACACATGGCACTCTGAGCACTACTGGCACCTCAGCACCAGAGCCCCTGTAGCTCCACATTCTCAAGCCCTGTCATCAAACCATCTGGCTCTACTGGTTGAGTTTATTGCCAGGAATGGTATCAGGAGACTCCTGAGCATTTGTGGGAGGCTCCCCCTACCTCTCTGCCAAAAAAGAGAAAAAAACAGCTCCAACATAAAATAATACTTCAAAGTAATGTACAACATGATTCCTGTAAATGCTCTAACACTGCTAGAGCGTATACAGGAAGTTGTTTTGAGAGTAAATCCTAAGAACCTTCATAAGAAAAGAGAAAATTGTGCCTCTTCTTCCTTAAAATAAAAAAAAAAAACACCTGAGTGTTGCTAAGCTAAAACTTCTGTGGTAGTGTCTTAATAAATGTATATCAAACCACCATGCTATAGATCTGAAAGTTGATGCCTATTAATTATTTCTCAATAAAGTGTAAAACAATTTCTTAGGTCTTGGAAATTAGGGTTAGAAAGTTTAAGCAATCAAAATTTAGAAAACATTACAATTGTCTTAAAAATCAATTTGGAAAAAAATTAATTTGTACAAAGTAGATGAAAGTATGGCATCTTTTCCATACCTTCTTTCATAAAAAAGCTAAAGTTGCTCTTATATGTTCTTGTAGGTTTCAAATCAAATCAAATCAATTAAATGTTAGTCTTAAATGTGCTTCCTATCCTCCTGGTTACCAGTTTAAGATGAATAAAAAGAAAACAAAGCCAATACAGTTAAAATAGGTATACCATACATGCAATTATAGTTTCCATTTTCTATGATACCTAAAGTAAACAAATACCTGCTAATGTAAGCCTGTTTGAAGTCAGGTCTCATGCTTATTGCTTGCCGGTACAGCTGATCTGCTTCTTCTAATCGAGACTCATTTGCACGGATGAGGTTTGCCAGATTGATATATACATTTAAGTGGTTAGGGGCAATTCTGGCTGCATATTTTTTACCAGGAATAATCTGTTCAGAAAAAAGGCATTTTTATAATCTGATTATTTCAGCGGCCAACCTGGCCAACCAGAGTTCGATTCCTCCGCCCCTCTCGGGGAGCCCGGCAAGCTACCAAGAGTATCTCGCCCACACGGCAGAGCCTGGCAAGCTCCCCATGGTGTATTGGATATGCCAAACACAGTAACAACAAATCTCACAATGTTACTGGGTCCGCTCGAGCAAATCGATGAACAATGGGAGGACAATGAAAGTGATTATTTCAGCAAAGAATTAAAATAAAAACTTTTCCTTCCTGGAGGTCCACTAAAACATACACCGATAGCCAGATAGATAATAGAGGGGATAAAATGCTTGCTGTATACACAGCTGACTGCTGTTCAATCCCCGGTACTGCATATGGTCTCCTGAGCACCACGAAAGTGATCTCTGAGCACAGATTAAGGAGTAAACCCTGAACAATGCAGAGTGTGACATTGCCTATGGTCTCCTGAGCAACACGGAATTGATCCCTAAGCACAGATTAAGGAGTAAACCCTGAACAATGGAGAGCGTGGCTCAAATTCCAAAAGAAATAAAAATGAAAATAAAATATACACAGAACATAAAATAATCATTCTACCAGTTTCATTGCCATACTAAAATAAATGACAAATATGTAAAAGCAGGGAGGGCTAGAGTTTATGCTTTGTATGATCCTAGGATTTGAACCCTGGAGAAAACATTACAATATGGCTCCATAAGCACCATCAGGTGTTACTGCTGGCAGTACTCAGCAATCACTCTTGATGGAACTGGTGATGGAATTCAGTCAGCCACGGGCAAGGCAAGCACGGTATCTGCTATACTATCTTTCTGGTCCTCTTAGTCATTTTTATGTATCATTTTAGTAAGTAAAGTAAAGGCCCTCCCGTTGATCTTCGATTTGCTCGAGCGGGCCCAGTAATGTCTCCATTTGGAGACTTTGTTGTTACTGTGTCTGGCATATCGAATACTCTCGGTAGCTTGCAGGGCTCTCTGAGAGGGGCGGAGGAATCAAACTCAGGTCGGCCATGTTGCTGCGTGCAAGGCTGACGCCCTACCCGCTGTGCTATCATTTTAGAAAGTCTATAAATCAGAATCTATAAAGGGAAAGGTCTCGTAGTATGGTTTTATCAGACCTATAATACAGGTTCTTGCCCTCAGGAGGATATTATATTACACAAAGTCAACTTCCATGTTGTCAAAAAAAGAAATTTCTTAGTTGTGACAATCGGGTAGTCAAATGTATTTCAATTGCAACCTTGACTGCTGAAGGAAAAAAAAAAAAACTGTAGTAACTTATATTAAACCCGTTAAGCCAAATTTATATATAATGCAAATATCTTAACTTTCACTGAGTATAAATTATGTTCAATATGATTTTCTGGGGGAATGAAGAGGTGATGCCACATATTACTCAAGTCTGTGCTCAGAGTCACTCCCAGGGGTGCTCAGGGATCCATGTAGGGTCAGGGATCAAGCCTAGGACTCCAGCACGCAAAGTATGTATTCCACCCCATTGAGCTATCTCTCTGATCCTCATAAAGATTTTTTATTTACTATCAAAGTTTTTGTGACTTTCCACTATCAAAATGACCCTTCTACTCTAAACATTTTTTTTTTGGGGGGGGCACACCTGGCAGTGCTCAGGTTTACTCCTTGAAGTCAGTAAAGTTCAGGAGCTAAAGGGAACCATATGGGGTGCCAGAGACTGATTTTTTTTTTTTTGTGTGTGTGTGTGAGGGGGCGGGCACACCTGGCAGTTCTCAGGTTTACTTGTTGAACTCAGTGATCACTCCTGTCAGACTAAGGGAAACATATGGAGTGCCTGGGACTGAACCTGGGTCAACTTATGCAAGGAAAGGACCCTACCAGCTGTACTATCACGCTGGCAGTAAATGTAATCCTTCATATGCCTTATAATCGTATGGTTAATTGAATACTTTACTTTTTGTACCATAAACAGAAGACACAGAATTCTACTTAATATGGACAACTGGTAAACATGACATAGTAGTAATAAATTCTGGCAACTTACTTGAGGCATCAGTGACTTAGCCATCATGTAAGATTCTTCTGCTTCTTTGGTTCTATTTAAATTTTTATAAGTTCTTCCTACATTCATGTGGGCACCTATATCATCTAAAATAAGAAAGAAACAATGTGTTGGAAAGTTACTAAGCAATATTAAAAGCAAACTAGTCAATATATTTCTAGCAATAAACATAATAGCAAAAGCAAGCAAAAAAGAAGATAACAAATTCTGCTTCCTTCTTAAAGTTCCTCCAACAATTTAGCTACACATGTTAGTTTCTCCATCTTTAACCAAAAATTAAAAATCCCTTACCATCCTTGACCCACCCAGCACCATTTCTTATCACTAACCTCTAATGAGTTTTCAATGTGATTTCATAAGGTATATGAAGGATTACATTTACTGCCAGAGTGATAGTACAATTATTCTTCCTCTACTCTCCTAACTTCTTTTCTTTCTATCAAGCCTTTTATCATTCCACCAAATTTGCTTGTTCAGTGCCATCTAATTATAGCATACTAAGATAAAGTCCTCAGTCTAATGGAAGTAGCTCTTTTTAATTCAATTCAAAATAAGCCAGCATCAAACATCGTAAGAACTGAGTTACTTGGACTAAACCATGAAAATGAAATACATCCTTTTCCCAAACAGAATCAAGTTTATAAAAAGAAAATTAGCGATTTAAACAGTTTTATTAATGCTTACCTGGCTGAACATGGGTAGCCTGTAAAAAGTATTTCAAAGCTCTCTCAAAGTTCTTTTCATTTTCCAGAGCATGACCAACATTATTCCATAATTTTGCATTATTTTTATTTACCTTAAATAAAAAGTACAGGCAGAGATATATACTTAAAATACTACTTCAATCAGTACAGATATTTCTTTGGTAAACAAAGAAAACATTGCACAGAAATGTCTGCGACAATGTAAGGGTGGTCAAAAGGTACAAACATCCAGTTATAAGTTCTAGGTATACAATACTGAACAATGAAGCATAATGACTACAGTTAACAATTATAGTAGATTTGAAAACCTGCAAGAGTTGGTGTCACAAGAAAAGAAAACCCAATTATTTAATACAGTGAATGTTAACCAAGCTCTCACTTGTTTGAGTACCTGTAAGCTAGGGTAAAGAGTAAAGTGGTGTGAGAGGAGTTACCTGATCTTATGGAGATCATCTTTAAGAAGTCAGACTACCCAAATTAGACAATGATTCAATTAACTTAGACACTGGAGGGCTGAAGAGAAAAGTGCAGTGCATAAGGTGCTTGTCTTGCATGCATTAGATCTCGGGTTCAATACCTGGAACCATGCACAGTATCCCAAGTACCCCCCAAAATGGATCACCAAGCGTAGTCCCGAGCATATATGGGAGTGGGCCAAAAACAAAACCCCAAACAAATAAAGACAATCCCAAAACTAATACAGGCAATGAAAAGAAAGTAATGTATAGAAAAGGCCAAAAGCAAGCAAAAAAAATTCGTGATTTTAAGGAGGATCATTGGCAAGGGAGTCTAGAGAAAAACAGCTCAAAAATATTGTAGAAAATACAAGATTTTTAGAAACACTTTATTCTATTTATGCTGCTCATTCTACAGAATGCTCAATGGCTACTTTTTGCTACTTCATTTCTCTCCTATAGATTGTAACTACTTGCTACCTTCTACATTGTAGGGTGAACTATTTTTATACAATCAATTGCAGCTATTATTTTCTGCAGCATTCAAACAAAAAAGGTCAATAACTTCAAAACAGAATATGGTCATTAACTGTAAGATGGGTTGCACTGTCATACGTACTCTGACTTCACAGACATTAAGAAGTAAAAAAAAAAACACGTACCCTAAGCACCAATAAAATAACATATTCTTGTTTGGGTATTTTAACACTTTAGTTTCTAACAACCAATAGTACGTAAGAATTATTCACATATGCTGTAGAAACACATTACTACTTAGAGCATTTGTCTATTAAGTTTTAAAGTTCTATTATTATAGTCAAATGCCCAATTAAAAGTGTGAATAAAATAAGGAATCAAATATAGCGTGAATCAATATTCCCATGTCCTACCTATACATGGTAGGACATAAACAAGCTATATAAAAACTTATAAGAGTTTTATAAGTTTTACTTTTCAAATGTGCAAAACTCAACAAGATTAAATGAGAAAACATACTTTGTTGTCATTCTGAATCATACTTTACCTTCAAGGCTGACATGAACAATGTATATTCAGACTCCCAATCCCAGTTTCTATGGAGTGTTTTTAAGGCATGAGTGAATATCACCACAGAAAGGAAAACCCAGGATAACTTTTTTAATACACTGTTTAAGAGAAAACAGAAATAAATAAAAACACTGCCTATATTAACAAAGCTATTTTAGAATAAAAATTAAAAATTAGGTTAACTTTTCCTAAATAATCACATGTGAATTTACTCTAGAAGCTAGTAACTATTCCTTCCAGTAAGCATTTAACATCACAGGAAACAAAAGCAATAATTTAATACACAGTTACTATGGAATAACATGGACTAACTTATACTTTACTGGTTCCACAATTCATGGATTCAACTAACCATGGGTGTTTTGTCAGTAGCATCAGCAGATGTGGAACTTGAATATATGGAATGTTAACTATTAGAGTGTTGAAAATCTGATTTTGGTATCAGATGAGAGAATACCATGGTAGTACCACAGGATTATCATAATTAGGTTCTGGGGAATCAAAAGCTATACAGAATTTCTATTGCAGGGGTGGCAGAGAGAGGGAATGTTAGTAGCCCAAAGGCCCCATTGTATATCATAAACCATTTTCCAGTTCAGTCTTTTATTACACCAAGTGTTACAGTTTCTGCCTCTATTTAAAGCTTCATTTAGGTTTACTAAAAAAAAAAAAAACCCTGATAATAATTTTTACTTTTATATTCCTGTTGTAACCCACAATTTGAACATTTTAAATTGCATTTTATAGTATACCTAGCTGTACTTAAATAGATTTTGTCTGCAAAGTATTCCACAGATTATCATGGCATTCTGGAAGTAAGTTTTCATTTTAAAGCGGGTTTATTAGGAGTCACAGTAAAACTATAAAAATAAATGCAAATCACGTTAATATGGCTTTAAGCTAGTTACTTGGGATTCAACTCCCGTATCTATAAAAGGCTGTTCATACTTTCATAATCCCTGTAATGTATTTTAATATTAAAGTCCTCTATCTAATAGAATCACTTGATCAGGATAAGGATGCCATGGATCAGAGAACATGGAGATTTAAAGCAGTCAAATGTAAATTCCATCAATTAGTTAATGTTATCTTGCAAAATTTAGGAAATCTGTATGAAAACTGACTAGTGAATCTGTGAAAAGTTAAGGGGTATCAAGATTAAATGGAAAAACAAACAGAAAGGGTTTATCATGGCACTTTGTATATGATATACTCAAAGACTCAAAGAATATACTCAAAGACTCAAAGACTCAAAGAAAAGGTTTGGTATGGGTATCATCCAGGGAAAAATTAATAGTGAGAAAAATGGCCAAAATAAAAATTATGAGAAATAAAAACATATAAAAAGTATTTAAGAGGTACAGAAAGAAAAAGAATGAAAAAAGAAAACAGTAAGAATAGAATCAAAGGGAATTGGGAGGAAGCTTTAAACAGATGAAACGGTAATCTTAAATAACATCACTGTTTAGATTTGTACATAATCTGTTATATATGTTGGGCAGTAGGAAGAGAGAAGTCAGAATTCTGTGGATTAGAGATGACTGAATGGAAAACAGAAACAGAGATGGTAATCAATTCTTATAAATAATGTCCCTGTTTGTTTCCTTATTATTGAAAGTAATTAGGGCACATGGTTATGAAAAATGTAGTGCTGATAGCAAGAATCAGACTGCTTACTCTGTGAATTATAATTTTATGCATGTACAGTTGCTGAAAGTGGTACTGATCATTTAAAATTTAGCCTTAATATTCTTGCTTTCATCTGTGTCCAAAACAAGTTTTTTGTACCTAAGAATAAAAAAGTAAAACCGAAATGTAGGAAGAACATAGGATGAGGTAGGTGCATGGAGTTTTTGCTAACTTGAATTGCACACAATGCAATAAAAAAGAATAGTTTAACATTTTGACTTATAAAAGAGAACAAAATAAACATTTTAAATACTTAAATGTTATCATCCTTAATTACAGCCTGTAAGCATTAAAATTTTAATTCACCTTTAAAGTTAACTATTTCATTCACCTTTTGTTTGATATTTTCTGCCATCCATGGGCTACCAAAATACAGAACCCCATGCTAGGAACATATAATACTCGCTCAGCAACAACAAATCCAACTGGAAAAAAAAGGTTTGATGCAGGTATAAATGGTAACGTCATTAAACAAAGTGCCTACAAAGAAAAAAAGATATTTTAAGTAAAGTTAAAAAAAATGGATGGCAAGTAGTTTATTACTTAATTTGGACAATGTGGAGAACTGTATAGATACTAATTTAAAAAATAAAGAAGGCAAGTTAGGATGGTAACAATAAACACCAGGATGTACCTTAGCAAGGTGAGACCAGTGTTGAATATTAAAACTTAAAATTAAGACTAATCTAATAGAAAAATCACTCTTTGAAAATACAGCTAATACAGCAAACATTTTTATACATCTAATTTATGTGTATGTGGTAAAAGTAAGCTGAGGAAGCAGTTTAAATAGATTTTTTAAAAAGCTATTAACAAGTTAGTAAAATAGTCAAATGTGTCAGTTTTTATAATTTCACTACTATGTCATCTAGAAAATTAAAGAACAAAGGCAACAAACAGACTATCACCTTTGTAATTCAGTACCATTTTTCATAATATTCTGATAAGGTCATATACACTTGATAGAGAACTAGTGTATGCACCAAACTGCTGTCTTCAGGTCAGTAGTCTTGTGAAAGAATTTCTGAGATTTTAAAACAATTAAATCTAAAATATATATATTTATATTTTATATATATATATATTTTTCATTTTGAAACTGCAAAGCCATTACAAAAGGTAGAAGGAGAGAAATAACGAGTCCACAGATAATCCATGAGAGGAAATTAGCTGGTCATATGCTTATATATGATGGTTATAGGACATACGTTTCTATAAATACCTGCTTTCATATTTTGCTCCCCTTGTTTTAAAGCATCTACTTGAACAAATTAATTGATACTTGAACAAATTAGTTCAAATTAGTTGAGTATTGTAATAAGTGGGCAAAAAATACTTTTGAGAGTATAGCGATAGTAGAGCGGGTAGGGTGTTTGCCTTGCATGCGGTTGCCCTGGGTTCAATTCCCAGCATCCCTAAAGGTACCCTGAGCACCACCAGGGGTAACTCCTGAGTGCAAAGCCATGAGTAACATGAGTAACTTCTGTGCATTGCTGGCTGTGACCCAAAAAGAACAAAAAAAAAGAAAAAGAGTATTTTTCTTTAAAAGGTGAAATATAGATATATATTTACATGGAAGAGTTTTAAAAGCACCGTCAAATTGTTCAATATAAAGTCTGAATTTTGTTTTCTCTGTTAATCAAGAAGTTAATACACTGAGCTTGCATTTTTCACTTACATATAAATGTTCAATAAAAATAAACAGCTACATATTTCTAAATATGTTATCCTCTTTTTAACTTCCCTGTAAAGTCAAAGTTGCCTTTAATCAAAACGTAGACTAATGCTTAAAAGGCATAGTACTGGAAAGAGCTACGGGGTCAGAGGCACTGCTCCGTATTACGAAGTAAACTGTCCAATCATCTTGAGGTTATCTACGTATCCCTGTATTATGAGGTAAAGCATCCAATTATCTTGAGACTATCTACTTATAAATAGGGAAAAATAACTTAGCATCTTATTTATGAGAGTTATCTCTGTTTACTTAACCCTTTCAGGAGATTTTCAGAGACTCTCAGCATGAAATACTAGCATGCTTAAGCATACTTAAGCAGTTATACAAAGGTCACAACTATTTTTATACACATAAAATACACATAAAATGAGTGATATAATGTTTATATATTGGCACTATGCTTCAATTTTTACTTAACTCATCAATATTTAAATTTACCTACCTCTTCCCTTTTGTTTTCAGTCTTCCTAATATCAGAATGCCAGTTTTGAGTGTATTTTACCATACACTTGCCTTGTTTGCATTTACTTGAGTAATAATGTATGATGAGAAAAAATTCCCAAGCAGAGCAGACTGATGTCATCATGCATTTATAATCATCAACTTCAAATTGGTTCTGAATATTACTAAGGATTCCTAGATTTCCTGAGCTGACTCCACTACCACCGCACTCCTTGACTATTCTGAATGCTCATTATTCATCGTCATTTCCTCAAACTTTGGCTTAGGTCATTTTCAGCAGGTGACCACACTTAGAAATATGGAAAACAAAAGCTTTAAAACAAAAATTCCTTGTAATTCTCTGCTATGAAACAAACCCAACATTCACATTCATGCTTGTTATTATCTTTCCTGCAATATACAATCATTCCTTCTTTTATTTACTCAATTTCTAATCAGCATGAGTAAATAACATATGGACCTATTTTTCCACATATTTAAATCTGTTATTGCTTCTCCAACCTTAAGTATCTTCTCCTTCAACAAAACATCTTAATTATATGACTGAGGTATAAAGCAAGTTCCAAATACTGTCAGGAAAGACTTTAGTTCTGGAAACAAAAAGTTGATTTTAACCATACTTAATCATGACTTCCATTCCTTGCATACATAAGCTTTTGTAAGGTAATCTCTTAGTGCTGATATTGCACTTGCTTCTAAATATCAGACAACTCCCATGAAAATAGTTCTAAAAGTCCATCAAAAAATCTTCCCCAACATCAACCTCTGAAGGTCTTTCAATTCTAGATCTCTATGCTCTCCTAGATCTCTAAGACATATTATCAACAGTCGGAAAATTTTGAAACCTCTGCATGACCAGCAATCCTTTCTTACCTAGATAATGCAATAGCTCAAGACTGTCTCATGCTCATATACTCATACTCATATACTCAAAGATAGAGTGCCTCTAAAGATTACATTAGCAGTCTTCATTTCATCTTCTAATCAAATCATTTCACAAAAGTAAATTCAACTAAATACCCAGCCAGTGAAATCCAACTGTTATCAATTTTCTACTCAGTAACACCTAGTAGTATAGGTCATTCTGTCTTTCTTAAAATACTTTCCTGTGTTCTTATCCATCTGTTCTATCCACTATTTAGGCAGTTTCATTTATACATATCTAAATATGAGGATTTTTCAAGATCCAATTATAGCTTCCTCTCTTTTCACTTGATTCATCTCTTTCAACTGTTCACTGGAAAGATGAGAATTAAGTTAAATAGTCTATATATAATATAAATTACCTTTCAATCTTTGCATTTAGAATGGTATTTCTGAGAAAGTGACAAAATACTGGTTGAGAAAGGTAGTTCTATTATTTATACAAAAGACTTCATATGCACATCCTGGTTTCAGTTATCTTCATTTCTTTGACAATCAAAAAACTTTTTAAAAGAGAGGGGTGGTATAGGGGAAAGGAGTGTCAGACCAGAAGTAACTTTTAAGGACAGTGGTGGCAAGTCTTAGGCATTTTGATTGAAGTGAAGATACAGTAATATTGTACATCAAGGGTCAAAGAGAATAGTGGGTAAAGTGATTACTTTGTACACAGTTGCTCTGGGTTTGACTCCCAGCATTAAAAACAGTGCCCTAAGCATCACTAGGAGTGATTCCTAAACACAGATCCATGAGTAAAACCTGAACACTGCTATGTGGTTTCCTACCACCCCAAAAATATCTCAAACACTGTTCATTAAAAGTGTAAACATTAACACTACTGTAACTAAGTTACTACCTAAGCAACAGGTTTTTTAAATTCAGTTCACAGTGACAATAAATTTCCACAAGCAAATCCAGTAACTTTCTTATATAAAGAAAAGTTGGGAAAAAAGTTTAATGTTAGATCTCTCATCCAAACTCCAGACACAAAGCAGTATTCAGAATCTCTACTTGGATTTTTCAAAGGCACCAAAATCAAAGAGATGAAATAAATCAGTAAATACAATTTTTCCACCAAGCTCTGTATTCTTTCAATTTTCTTTGTATCTCAAAGGTTGGCTTCAAATTTCTATCGGATGCAAGTTCCCTGGAAGGGTAACCTTTATTTTATTATTATAGTATCTTCAGTTTCTAAATGCTGGCTGGTATGTTTCCCAGCAATTATAACCTTTTTAAATGAATGGACAAATGAATTTCATGGCTACAAATGCATTTATGCAATATTAAAAATTAATTTTGGCATATGGTAAATGATTTCAGAGCTTCTACTGAAGTAGGAAAATTCATAAGCAGTTTCTATTTTATATGCTGAATGTACAAATCATGTTTGCATATAAAATTCGAATATAATTCTAATATAATTGTATGAAAATAAATTTCTAAAACTTATGCTAAAAAAAGGGTGATTTTGATGAATTAAAAACGGGCTCTAATTAGTCAATTAAATTCTATTTGAAACATTCAAAGTTTCTTACCATTAAAACAGTCTTAGAGGAATCACCTGGATATCTAAGACTGAACACTCCCAAAGTTCCCAATAAGCAAAAGAAAGTAAATGTGGCAAGATTTCGAACATCTAGAAATGACTCTATCAGAGGTATCGTTCCCATGGTCCAATCGCAGCACAGCTCTGAAGGATTTAATAGAAGCCAAGCATTTACAGGAAGGAGGTAGTTAAATGTAAGCTGTCTTGTAGGAGTTGGGCTCACAGCTGCTGGATTATCAAACCTGTATAAACAATATTAAAAAAAAAAAACAACTCTAAAACATCATTAAACAAAACTTACATACTATATATATAAAATACTAAATAAAAAATCAACATTTTATATGTAATCTTCTTATTGCACTGCAGCACTGAGAAGACATAATTTAATACATACTGCACACTTGTAAGAGTTTAATGTCGGACCTTCTGCATGCTGTTCCACCATCCCAGGTGAGTCTTGCCTCTAGCTGATATCACTGGGCCCATTCCAGAACAGAAGGCAGAACCCCTGCTTACCAGGTGGGTCCTAGTAGCCTTCACCTGACCTGTGTCATATTAACGGCCCACACCAAAGCTGCTGCCTGACGTTCTGCTTGCTGCTCCCCCATCCCAGGGGACGCTTGCCTCTGGCTGCTATCACTGGGTCTATTCCAGATGGGAGGCAGAGCCCCTTCATCCTGGGTGGGTTCAAGTAGCCTCCACAACTGACATGCGCCATATTTAAGGGCCCACACCATAGCTCCTAAGGGGGAACATCTACTCCACGTATTACATACTGCTCAGTTATTCTTGTCATTCTGTGAGGATAAGCGAAGGAGAGAGCAAACTTTAACTTAATCTCTCAGCAATCTTCAGGGGGAGTTAATTAAAAAGACTCATGCCTAGCGTGGCAAGAGCACTAGAAAATAATTAGGGAAAACAAGAGGAAATCCACCAAGCTTGGTCAGAGAAAACGGTATCACTGAAGGCATAAATAGCACCAGTAAACCCTTAGACAGTGTCTAGTGACACCATGATGAGGCTGTGCAAGTCAAAGAAACAATGGTCCAAATGGTCAGCAAAGCACAAGAAAGTCTGAGAGTTGAAATTTAAAAATTCTTATAGTAAGAAATGACAGAAATTAGTAGAACATGGTAGGTGATATTAAAAAAAAAAGTCAGTAGAAGCTCTGAACAACAGAATAACGGAAGCTAAGAAAATGTTTGAAGAGCTCCAAGATGAGAAGGAGGAGATGACTAGCAAACAGCAGAAGGTGGAAGGTACTTTGAAAAGAAATGAACAGCTTATCAGTGAACTATGGGATAAATTCAAGAGGAACAATCTAAGAATCATGGGATCCCCCCAACAACAAAGAAATCATCCATAAGAACTTCCCAGAGTTGAGGGGACTATACAGATTTGAAGGGACTTCATGAACAGGCAACTCAGTCACAAAAATTAAAATGTAGATTAAAAAGGAAAAAGAAAAAGGCACACACACATAATGCTAACAAAAGATAACTTGACTGTCTATATTAATGTAAACCAAAGTGAATTTCTGAGTAAAGACTATTATAACTGGGAGAGAAAAGCTCATTTAAAAACAATAGACATCAATTCATTAGAAGGAAATTAAAACCCAATACATCTAATAAGTTCCAAAACTCATGGAAAAAAATTGAATTGCAAGGAGAAATAGAAAAATCTGTAATTACCATCAGATATTTCATTAATTATAGAGAATACAGAATACAGAGAAACTCAAAAAATCACTAAGAATATAGACGTTTTAAAACAACTTTAATTGGGGGTCATTATCTTAAAAGTGGTGGTTTATTAATTTAACATGTATCTAAAATTTATTAGTATGTTTTAAATTTAAATGTATGGTGTTTTTAAATTAAAATATATCAATAATCTGTTAAAAAAAAGCTTCAATACTGTAAGTTAAAGACTTTCTGGAAAATTTACAATCACTTAAAAAGAATGATCAAAAAATAAAAAGCAACCAGAATTTCATACCTGGTGAACACAGGAAGTTGGGACTGAATAACCTGGACTCTAATCACAACAAGTAATAGTGTACTGAACATCAAAACAATAAGTTTTATTACTGTCTGCAGCATAGAAAATGGAATACTACCCTTCCCACGGAGAAACTGTCCAGCAGTAGTACACAATAATGGCAAAGTATACTGGAAAAAAAGAGAAGAAGTTTTAAAAAACAACACACAACAACGTAGAATTTTCTGAAAAGAAAATTATAAATCTCTTTCAAGTAGGCTAATACAAAAAAAATCTATTTTTTTCTTACCCCCTGGGCAATAAATACTTCATATACACAGCAAATTCCTACAACTGTTATTCCTTGTTCTTTACACAGTGTTGCAACAGCCACTAAAAACACTGTCAAAGCAATTGGGGGCCACACTGCAATTTAAGAAAGAAAAAAACATAAAATCACACATTTTATAAAATCATAAAGGATATTTTATTATTTAGATATAATTTTAAAAACTTGCGATTCTGTATTCATATTTGTGTTATTTTTTCAATTATTTGTAGTTTAAATTTTCAAATACATTAACATTTAAAACAAAAGTGAGGTTAGTCAGGCTACAGGAAAATTCAGGCTTAATTTCATATTAACAAATGATCACATATGAAATGACCAATACTTGAAAATACACAGGATTCTATATCTTACATCTATAATTTATTAACAACTTGAAACTGAATATTGGGCAAAATGAATCATCAGTCTTATTTTTAGAAAGACTATAAGGGGGCTGCAAAGACAGTACAGGGGTTAAGGCACTAGCATGTGGCTGACCCTGGTTAAATTCACAGCACTACATGATGTCGCAAGCACAGCTCCAGTGACCTTGAGCATAAAGTGGGATTAGCCTCCAGAACACAAAGCCCCAAACTCTCAAGGACCATAAACAAATGACCAGGTTAACACGTATTTGAAAACTATTCTTTAAAAAAAATGACAACATTGGGAAACTGGATCACCACTGGATCAACTACTGGCTAAATAGAAAGGGAATGACCAACACATCCAGACATTCTCAGTGTTTGAAAACTTGATGAAATTTCTAGATGGGTTCAGCTCTATTTAAGTTGTTTACCTCAACCAATGACCAACTGATAGAAGATGAGTGCATCTACTCCTATGAACCCACCAAGGACTTAACAGTCCTTTTAAGGACAAACTAAATGTTACTCTTTTCTAAAAGGAAGTATTTTATCTCTGCATGTCTTTGCAGAAAAGGCTGGCAGAAACAGAAACAAACACTTTCTCTTGCAGAAACAAAAGCTTATGTTATAACTATTATTTTCATGCTCTAAACACTAACTTGCCTCAGGAAAAGTTTTCCTCTTCCAGGACTTAACAGTTAAAAACTGTCTAGTGTATCAGATTTCACTTTCAGAATAATACTCTGAAATCAAATCAATCATTGTCTAGGCCCCATTAACAGTAAGTTAGCATGAGATTTCACTATCTTAAATAGGCATACCTATACCTACGCCAGCTAAAGGTGAAATTTCTAGGGAGAATACACAGGCAGATAGGCATGGGAACTGGTACTTAAGTTTTTGGGAAATAAAACCTTTTCAGATACAAATCTTGAGCTCTTTGGACATGGAGAAATGAAGTAATGAAGTAACACTCAGAGAAGAGTGAGCCACTCCAGAAAAGGAGAATCTAAAGGTTGTGATAAGTTACGAAAGGATACCAAGAATCCAAGGCTTTCCCTGCTATAATAGTACCTGGACTAGCTTTTCTGTTTGCTGAGAAGGCCAAAAAAACCTGGAAAAATTATGTATGACCTTCTCCTAAAATTAATTTTCTTTGCACTCTTGAGAAACACGGGAAGCTCTTTCTCTTCCCTCACATTTCTCTGAGTATATTTCTTTCAATTAAACTATTTTAGTTCAATTTAAAAATTACAACAAAATGTCAGGAGTGATTCCCTGAGTGCAGAGCCAGGATAAGCCCTGATATAGTCGGGTATGAAACAAAAGCAAGGAAGGAAGGGAGGAAGCAATGAAAAAATGGGAAAGAATGGAGGGACGAAAAGGAAGAGGGAAAGAAGTAAACTAAGAATGAAAAATGTAAGTGAAAGCTTGTTTTATTCATAACAGGGGAATTTTCTTTAACAGGGAAACTGACTTGAGGACTGATGACATGAAGGGTGTCAATAAGACACAGAATGAAAGAAATTTCAAGAAAGAAGACTAGTAACTTTGAATGTAGGTGTCTGCCCTATTAGAAAAATAGTGAGGTCTAGTTAGCAACAGTGAAGAGAGGTAAAGCAAAAATGGCAGAAGATATGGTGAAAAAGATAAACAGGAGCCTTACCATTGTATTATGTGTAGGTCAATGTTTTCTGTTTAAATTTTACTTAGCATGATGTCAAAAAAAAGAAACTGTTTTGCAGTTATCTTAGTTATTGCAAGATGGACAATAGAAAATTGAAAACAGATAAGCTGTTTCTAAATGCCTTAAAAACTTATCTAATTTTTGCAACAGTAGGAGCTACTGGCTACACTTTGGAATTAAGTAAAAGTACAGAGAGATTATTCCAAATGGAATAAAATGGAGCTAGTTAGTCTACAGTGTGAAACTAGACTTTGGAGTCTAAGCTCTTGACCACCTTGCTGACTGTGTTGCTAGTCAGAAAAGCATTATGCATAGTGGCTGGAACAAATATATGTTGCTAAAGGTATTTGGTTACACTATTTCTTGAACCTTTGTTTTCACACATACATACAATTAGGCTCCTAAGAATTAACAACTTGATCTACAGTGAGAACAATATCTAAATAGCAAATTTCTTCAGTTAAACTCCTGAACCAAATAACAGGTTTACTTCTCTGTACAGTGGTGTTGCCCAAATTCTAAAATAATTTTTTTATTGTCCGGAGCTGGTTTAAACTGGAATTATTATAACTAGTAAGCTAACGCTTTGTATACAAAGTGTTACTGAGGGTAGACTTTCAAGATAGGGTCTCCATAAATATAATGGGGCTAGGGAGATAGTACATTGGGGAGGGCGCTTGCCTTTTACGTGGCTGACTGCGGTTTGATTCCTGGCATCCTATATAGTCCCCTGAGCACTGCCAAGAGTAATTTCTGACTGCACAGTTAGGAGTAACCCTGAGAACCAATAGGTGTGGCCCCAAACCAGAATAAATAAAATCAAAAAACAAAATAGCTGCACTATGATCAATATAAAATTAAAATTTGGGTTTTAATTTTAATGGGTTAACAATTCAGTATTCTAGGTGTTATTTACAGAAATGCAAGTAAAGTCTCAGTTTTTATAATTTGCAGAGGTACAACCAGATGGAATTAACAACATGATACCTATCATCCAAGGTATTTAAAAAATTTTGATAATAGTATGGGGTCAGAGAGATAGTACAGTGGATACGGCACTTGCCTGGTAAACAGCCTACCTAGGTTCAATCCCTGGCATTACATATGGGCTGCCTAGACCTACCAGGAGTGACCCTTTATATTTTTTTTTGGGGGGGGGGGGGGTGCTGGAGGAGTGGGAGGCACCCAGTAGTACTCAGAGCTTACACCTGGTTCTGTACTCAAGGATTACTCTGGAATCATTTGGGGTATTGGGGACCAAGCCCAGGTAAGCTGCATGCAAGGTAAGCGCCCGACTGCTGCATTATCTCTGAGCCCAAGAACGATCCTTAAGAGCAGAGTTAGACACACTGAGTACCACATTGTGTGCACCCTCCCCCTTGGCCCCCTCACAATAGTATCACATTAGGTGTTAAACCAGAAGCAAAAGACAAACACTGGACAATCTCACACATCTATATTATACAGTGTAACAAAACAAGGGAATAAACCCTAACCCTTGGGCCTGAATTACAGAACTGAGAATATCAAATTCAGGGATGATTTGTGAATATAAGCACGGAATAATGAGGTGGACTGAAAGTAACATAAGGGTTCACTGGTGAAGAGTTTGGGCACCTGGGCAGTGAGGCAATGTTAAATTCTATTATAGCCAACTTGCCTAAGTTATAATAAAAGTAAACTAAAAACATTTAAAATATGTTAGCCATGATAAAGTATGTAAAACTCTTCAATAATAATGATGTTGTATATCTCCTACATATTCCCATATAATATAAAAGCACAGTAAGTTTGCTTCAAGTGTGACATATAAGAAGCACTTAGGTATAACTGGGCGGGAGAGGTAGTACAAGGGTCAAGGTGCTTGCCCTGCACATGGCCGATCCTAGTTCAATCCCTGGCACTACATACAGTCCCCTGACACCACCAGGTATGACCCCCACACCTGACAGAAAAAAAGAGAAAGATTCAGATAATCACGTTTTATCACTTGAGAGAAATATCAAGTGTTAGGCATTTACCTATAGAATTATTGGGTCCTTTTGATTTGGTGTACGACAAAAATGCAGCTAAAAAAAAGATAGATGACAAAAGTTCTGCTCTCCCGACAACACCTGTTACCTGAAAGCAAACAGAGTGGGAGGTTCATATTAATGAACAGAATTTTGAAATTTAAGCTATACCTAACAGCAAAGCACAAAAAAACAGTAAACTGCTCTAACTTTTCAAGCATATATTAAATTTCTTAGACATTCTTTGGGTGCCCTCTTGTGGTTAATTTATGTATCGTCTATTAAAAAAAAAAAACATGACTTGTAACAGTCCTTCTTATTATTGACTTTAAAATAATTATACAGAGGAGTTTGTCCCACTAAGGTAGAGGTGCTGTTTACCCTTTACAGTTTCTCCATCTTACTATAACTATAATAAAAATATCTAGAACATTATCTATTGTCTTGGAGGCCCCACGCAGGAAAACTTGGGGGCTACTCCTGGTATGATGCAGTGGTTAGACAACCATGTAGTGTCAGAAATATGACCCAGTCCTCCAGATGCTAACCTTGTGAACATTCTATATAGTCTTAGTGTTTTTCATTTAGAAGAAAGAAAAAATGTTAAGTATTGCATATTTTCTTAAGATGCAAGTGTTCTTAAAACCAAAGGTAGTGAAAATGTTTTAAGTAATGTCGTAATAAATACGTAACGTTAAGAAAATAAATCTGGGATACGTCATTATAACCCACATACTTACTAAGACAAGCAACTTACTTGAGGTGTATAATTTGTCTTCCTCTACTTTATGGCCTCTCTCTGTATAACCATCATAAATTAAGCTATTTATTAATAAACTAAAATACAAAAAATTGAAAGTCTGAAATCTAAACATTCAAATATAAAACCTCTGAAAGTCTCCCTTTAAGTATTTTGAACTGACTAAAATTTAAAAGAGACTAATCAGTTTGTAAGAGTACGTAAAATATTTGTCGAGTTAGATTTGTCCAAAACTTTCAAAATAGAGAGATATGGAAAGCCCCTGGAATACATGCATTTTTAAATATATAAACTCTTGCTTACAACTGAAACCTCATAAAAAGAATAAAACCTAACCAAAGTCTCCAGGACAAGTAAAATATTTAAGAGTATATTTTTGTAGGTAGGGGCTAGTAGACATATTGGCAACAGCAAAGAGAGTTTACAATTATTAAATATTTGGCAAAAGACAATATGAAACTACTATTATTTATTAGGTCTATTTATATCTGCTCACATTCTGTTTATCACGTTTTATATAAATTTCCTTTTAACTGTATTTTAAGTCTTTATTGACAAATAACCACAATTAACTGTAGTCATTCATACCAGCTGTAAAATTACATGTTATGTCAATGTCTAGTATTAAAACATGCTAATTTATGAATTTTCAAATACTTGAAGTCACAGCCATTTTTTCCCTTTAAAAGTAGAACTATTATAATTATTGTAGATATTGTAAAAATAAATCGATTTATACTTTTACTTACTGCTTCTGTGTGTACTGGGTGCACTGCAAAAAGTAAAGAAGCAATCATACTGCTCCTGTTGTCCAGGAAAAGTTTGCAGACTTTAAGAAATATCACACTAACCACAGCATGAAAAATCATATTGAGAAGATGATATGACATTGGCTTCAGTTCACTAAGCAGGTAATTTAAGCGAAATGTCAGTACTGTGAAGGGACGATAAGATTTGTGGCTTCTCTCCTGGAAGGGGGAAAAAACTCCAATAATTACTAAGGTATCTTGGTCCTCTGGGTACATAAAGAAATTATTGCATTGACTCTTGAGAAGTCTACATTTGGCTATGAAATAGCAGTAAAATTTAAAAAAATCATAAAAAAACCCTAAAAATAATATATACACAACAGCTTCTGAATCTGAATTTTTCTATTTCCTTAGTCCAAACCCAATGAACTATGTACATATAGTAATTCGAAAACAAATAGTAAAGGAGGAACATATAAACTATTTCTCTTCCACTGCAAGTTTTTTTTCCTTTTTTAAAAAGGCTGATCAACAGTAGCATTGGTCTAACTGGAGCAAATAAATTCTCTCCGAAGCCTGCATTCTAACTACTAAGACATACATTTATATAATTATTGGCTAGATTTCAAAAGAAAATAAAAGAACAGAATGCACACCTGTACAGCTTACTGTCTCATATTCAGGAAATTGTACTAACCTAAATACTTTAAACCCCAAGCCTTCTTACAGAGAGAGCAATACAGGAACAAAATATAGATTTTCTTTATAAACTAGAATCTACATTTAACCAGAGCATAAGATAAAAAACCACCAGGGTTCAGGGAGGTGCTCAAACGGCTAGTAAGAGTACATGCATGCAAGAACTACTGACTCTCAGCCCTACAGAAAATGAAGTTGAGAGTAGCCTTTATATCAACGGTGTGAAACCCTCTACCTGCCACAAAAGAGAAAAAAAAAAAAGGTCATATAGAAAAATAGGTCAAAATTTGTAAAATGCCATCCTAAATATTTTCTTGCACTTTTAAATAAGGGTATCCAAATTTAGCCTTTTATTTTTCCTACCTCTTACCACATTTTGATGTAATTAATATACAGATAGAAAATTATGTGTTCTTACCTTCTAGGAAATATTAGAAGCACAAAGAACAAACATTTCTCATTATGAAATGTAAGCATTTTAATATGTTTACATTCACTCTGTTTATATTTACATCATGAATAAAATATTCTTTACTGATTAGCAAATTTCTGTAGATTCTTCAAATTTCAGATAGAGCACACAAAATTCTTTTATAAGACACTCTATTGAATGGGTGCTAGGTACTTGACTAAGAAAGCAGAAGTCTAGAAACCTTGTAAATGTGAACTGTTCTTCTACTGGAACATATTTGCCCTTGGAAAATAGAAAGTTAGAAAGTGGCAATGAATATGCATTTTTAGTTATAGTATACATATACAACTGTTTTCATCTATTCAATGAATGTATGGCATAGGTTAATATGACCAAGAGATTAATTGTTTTTTAAAATTACACATTAATTTATTCATAATCTATTTACTGATTCCTCTGTCCCTCTCAGAGAGCCTGATAAGCTACCGAGAGTATCCCTCCCGCATGACAGAGCCTGCAAGGTCCCAGTGGAGTATTCGATATGCCAAAAATAGTAACAATAAAAGTCTCGTAATGGAGACATTACTGGTGCCTGCTCAAGCTAGAGTGCTAATCTATTTATGCTAGAGTGCTAATCTATTTATGATTCCATAAATAGTGCTAATCTATTTATGCTAGAGTGCTAATCTATTTATGATTCCATTATAATAATGCAATTTACCACATGGTTCACACTAATGAAACAATTTCATTATGAACAAAACAATTAAATTCATTAATATATTTAGGCATATAAAGAAAAACATTTATAAACATTTATATTTGCTGGCAGTTTTTTTTTTTCACTCAGGTTTTTTCCAGATTCTGACTATTGTAAAGAGTGCTGCAATGAACAAACAAGTGCAGATGTCATTTTTGTTTGTTTATTAGTGAAACACCATGAGGTAAAGTTGCAGACTTACAAGTTGTTGTGCTTGGGTTTCAGTTATACAATGATCGAGTACCCATCCCACCACCAGTGCCCATTCTCTGCCTCCACCAATCCCAGTATCCCTCCCACCCCCCATCCCCCCCTGCCTCTGTGGCAGGGCACTCCCTTTTGTTCTATCTCTCCTTTTGGGTGCTGTGGTCTGCAGAAGAGACATTGGATGGCAATCATGTTCTGTCTAGAGACTACTTTCAGCATGCATCTCCCATCCTGTGCGGATCTTCCCAGCACCCTTTATTTGGTGCTCCCTTCTCTATCTGAGCTGCCTTTGCCCCTACAGTGTGCAGCTGGCTTCTAAGCCATGGAGTGAACAACCTGGTATTTATCACATCTGCTCCTGGGTGTTAGTCTCTTATTTTGTTACTTTATGTTCTCCAGATGAATGCAATCTTTCTATGTCTGTCCCTCTATTTCTGACTCATTTCACTTAGCATGATACTTTCCATGTAGTTGCTGGCAGTTTTAACGTAAGCATAAATAAAATGAATACATGAGCTAATAGTTTTATATCAATGTTGATCTCCGAACAGTGATGACAAAAATAGTCAGGTTGGTTATCTGAAGAAGTTTAGCTAACATAGATACTTTGGAGACAAAACGTCTTAAGAGTACATTTCATTACAGCTTGGTAGTGCTCAACCATAAATGGCTGACTAATTATTTGGATAACTAAAGAGTGAAAAATCCCTCTTATGACCTCTAAAAAATGGCCCACAAAACAACAATAAAGCAAACAAAATATGACAAAAAAATACGGATGTCTATAGCCCACTCTGATATGACTATACCGATTTTAGGTGGGGGACTGGTGATTTTTAAATGCTCCCCAAAATTCTACTGGGCAGCCAGAACTGTAATCCACAATCAATCAATAAATAGAGTATTTGCACATCTGATGAATGAACTTCCAAAGAGGTAATTTAAACACAGTTGGACCCCACAGAGTCAAAAGACTGTAGTATGAGGGAGTTCAAAAGGGAATGCCCTGCCATAGAGGCAGGGTATGTGGGGGGTGGGATGGGGTGGGGGATGGGAGGGATATTGGGACCTGTGGTGGAGGAAAATGGGCACTAGTGGAGGGATGGGTATTTGATCATTTTATAATTGAAATCCAAGCACAAAAATTTGTAAGTCTACAACTGTACCTCATGGTGTTTCACTAATAAAAATTAAAAATAAATATTACACCTTAACTGTAACTTTATAGCATCACAATAAAACAATGTTCAGGGTAAAATAAAATAAAAAAGAATATCCTTCCCAAATATCTTTTAATAACTACGCAAATTATCTTTTAATAACTATAGTGGCACAAAAATCCTTAGAAACTTGAAGACATTACCCACTAGATTCTGAAAGTGTTAATTTTTAATTTTAGGCTTGTCAAGAAAGCTTAAATATGACTAAGATGAGTTTTTCCTGAGTGTACATCTCCCTATAAGCAGAGACCATACCTACAGTGATATATAAGGAGGCAACAGTGTACTAATAATTAATTTTGTTGATGTATTCTTAGTCTTTTAAGTGGATCTGCACTGTCCCTGTCCCTGTCCTCCCATTGTTCATCGATTTGCTGGAGCGGGCCCAGTAACATTGTGAGACTTGTTATTCTGTTTGGCATATCGAACATGTCACGGGTAGCTGGCAAGGCTTTGCCGTGTAGGCAAGATACTTTCGGCAGCTTGCCGGGCTCTCCGAGAGGGGTGGAGGAATCGAATTTAGGTCAGGCATGTTGGCTGCATGCAAGGCAAACGCCCTACCAGCAGTGCTATTGCTCCAGCGCAAGTGGATCTGTACAAAATCTAATTTTCAATCTGCAGAGCTGAGGAGAAAAAAATGACAAAACAAAGGCAGTATAATACCATGATCCATCGTCTATAGTAAGTAAAAGTAAAGGCCCTCCTGTTGATCATCGATTTGCTCGAGTGGGCCCAGTAACGCCTCCATTGGAGACTTTGTTGTTACTGTGTTTGGCATATCGAATACGTCACGGGGAGCTTGCCGGGCTCTGCTGTGCGGGCGAGATACTCTCGGTAGCTTGCTGGGCTCTTCGAGAGGGGCGGAGGAATCGAACTCGGGTCGGCCATGTTGGCTGCGTGCAAGGCAAACGCCCTACCGCTGTGTTATCACTCCAACATCTATGAGATTGCTTAATCAAGTTTTAAAGTGCAAATCTCAACATGATGATTTTTATTAAATCACAACAGATACTTAGTAAGTTGGGCGAATCAACATATATTTCTAAGGGCCTCTGATGATAAAGGGAAATAAAAATATTTAGAAAATAAAAAATGTTTGTTAAAGTACCGTGTTTACCCTTATTAAGCATTTTTAAGTAGAGCATTGGGAAAGGGTAAGAATGGCAAAAAAAAAAAGTCTTCCTTTTAAATAACAGAACATACATTTTAATTACTTTTGACTAGAAGAATGAAAATCCAACCCCATCCTTGGGAAGCTCCCAAACTTAAGAGAATGTGAAAGGGGCCACAAATGCTGACAAATGAGAAAAAACATTTATGTTTCGATAACTATGTACCATATACTATATACACAAGTTATTTTATTTATTCTCAGGTATCATTTTTTTTTTTTTGGCCACATTTGTCAGTGCTCAGGGCTTACTCCAGGCCCTGCACTCAGGGATCACTGTTGGCAAGGCTTGGGGAACCATGGGTGGCACTAAGAATTGAACACTTGTCAGCTGGAATCAGTCAAGTGCAAGGTAAGTGTTCCACTGGGTCCTATTTATGTATTAGAAAAACCACTTTTTATCTGAAAACTATAATGTGACCTATTTCACAGCTATTAAATAATAGGCCTCGAATTAGAATCTAAGTTAGTAGGGGCTTAATTCCAACAATTAAACATTGTCCTTCACAATATGGCTACTGGTAAAATAAAAACACTATCATCGTGAATGGCTGACACCCATTGGTGGTGGATATGGTGCTGGAACACTTTATGAATGAACCTTTGTCATTAACAGTATTATAAGTCACAGTGCCTCAAGTAACACTGGAGGAAAAAAAGAATACCAAAAACACCCTCATGAAAATGATCTAATACTGGGCTTTCAATGTAAAAACCAAAAGAACAATTAGGTAAGAGATCTGACTGAAATTTAAACTTTTTCAGAAGGAATTTATGTCTTTTCAAAAAAAAAACGATGTTATGTGCACATACTTTTTTTTGGGTGATGCTCCATATGTCTTACTGAAACTTATTTAGATGTGAGATATAAGGGAAGAGAAAGAGAGAAGTATGTATTCAAGTGAGAACATGGGCTTCTTCAAGTGGAAATAGGCAAGCAAAGAAGGTATGGGAAAAAAAAGAGATATAGAAACATGCAGGTAATATACATGTTCAAAGGAGAACACAAGCTCGAAGAGCAAGTCAGTATACTATTTTTATCTCTACAGTCTAATGTATTTATGCTGAATCTACCTATGTTTTTAAATGGTTAAGTATGCCACAAGTTGCCCTCTCTTTTGCCTGACTCACATGAGCACATAAAGAGAAAAACATAACAATCAAGAAATAGTTATACCTAACACATTTGGCTTTTGTATACATAAAAAACAAACATAGAGATGTAATATATACGTACCTCAGACATGGGGGTTCCCCAGAAGTCATTCTGAAATAAAGTCTTTAAAGGTGTAGATGGATGCAGGTCTTTATTATCTAGTATTGCTGAAACATCATCAAAAACAAAACCACAGAAGAGGCTGTTCCAATAGCAGGCAGTAACCACACCTATAATTAATGTTACTTCTTTGAGGTTAAAATCAGCCATCTTTTCTTAAGCAGCTGCAGACAAAATCTGGGCTGAGGGGTGGAGGGGAGAGAGAGAGAAAGAATGAAGATAAGATAAAATAAGCGATTCTTTTTTTTTTTTTTTTGCTTTTTGGGTCACACCCAGCAATGCTCAGGGGTTACTCCTGGCTCATGCACTCAGGAATCACTCCTGGCGGTGCCTGCGGGACCATATGGGATGCTGGGAATCAAACCTGTGTCGGCCATGTTGGCTGCGTGCAAGGCAAACACCCTACCCGCTGTGCTATTGCTCCAGCCCCAATAAGCAATTCTTTTTCCCTCAAGTACACACAATTTTAATGGCAGAAAGGAGGGTAGTATTAAAATAAACTAAATTCTAATTCTCTGAAAGAATTAATGCTTCAAAGTTCATTCAAATTCATCCACCTCTAAGATATATTTGTTGAATGACTGAAAACAAAATTAATTACTCCCTTTATTATTTCCATACCTCTACTATGGTCCTTTATCATATCACTTAATTTTTGGATTATTTGGAAAACTAAGATTTATCAACTGTCACAGGGATACTTTAATAAGTTTTATTATCTTGCTAGGTCCTTAACACACATTAATATTAATGCACGATCTAAATATGGGTTCCTTTATCACAAAACAAATGGTTTTAATCTAGAGCAAAGCTTCATAAAGTTTTCATTGAGAAATTTTAATGAATCCTGGGTAAATATATAAAATAGAGCTATAAATCAAAATATTAATATATTATAAGAATATTTTAAAATAGGTGTTTATGGGTCATAAAAATAGTATAAAGATAAAGCAGTGTCTTAATCACTGCTCCCAGTTAAAATCCCTGCTTTAAACCCTGGGACAACATAGGATCACCCCAAAGCACAGCAAGGGGTCATTCCTGAGTCAGATCTGGCTCATAAGACAAAAAGTACAAAAAGCAAACAAATGAAAAATATCAAATAAAGATTGTTCTGTCACCCTCATATAGGACTGCGACCCACAGTTTAAGTAACTATGATCTAAAGAATGTTTCACGCATAACTTCATAATTACGTTACTATTTTAGAAAGTATTAAATGAGAACAGATTAAAATAGAAAGAACTACATCAACTAAAGGATGTCTTTGTCACTGTCCTCCCGTTGTTCATCAATTTTCTCGAGCAGGCCCAGTAACACTGTGAGACTTGTTACTCTGTTTGGCATGTCGATTATGTCACGGGTAGCTTGCCAGGCTCTGCCGTGCAGGAAAGATACTCTCAGTAGCTTGCTGGGCTCTCTGAGAGGGGCAGAGGAATGGAACTCGGGTTGGCTACATTGGCTGCGTGCAAGTCAAACGCCCTACCCATTGAAGAATTATGCCCAAATATAATCAAGGCTGGATGGGAATATCCAACTTTAAGAAAATAACTGATGACTCTTTACCTAGAGTGTCATTAGTATCATTTTAGTGTCATAATTTGTGGAAGACAAAATGATGGCACTTGAAAAGCTGTTCATATACGAATTGCTTGAGCCTGTGAAAATGTCAATTTACATGGAGAATGAGACTTTACAGGTGTGATCAATCTGAGGACTGTGAGATGAGCAGATGGTTCTGGATCCAAATTCAAAGATAGCTCATATACAAAGATGAATTTTTTACAAGAGTGAGCAGAGTTGAGGAGCAAAGGTCAAAGTGAGAGGATGACAGTTTTGGCCACAAGACAAGAAATAAAACAGCGAAAGAAACACCATTAAAAAAAAACTGCAGCTTCTAACAATACTATAACCCAGCTGATATTCCAATTTTAGTCTACTTAGACCAACTTTAAACTTCCAGAATTATAAACAAGTAATTGTTTTAAGGTCACCAAAAATTTTTGTAGTCATATGTTATGACAGAAATAGGAAATACATCACTCAGAGAGTTAAGAATATTTGAAACTGAGATATGTGTAGGAGTTGTTGCAAATCAGAGAATAGGATGGCAAGTGAGCAGAATTAAAAAATAGAACCATGAGAACATCTCTGGCAGAAAACCTGTATGGAACGCATGTGAAGCAAGTCTGATCCCTGGTACTCCCCCATCTTGCACCAGCAACCAAATGAATGAGCATAACAACCATGTACATAAGTCTGGACACTGCAATGATGCAGACTCCGACCCCCTCCCCCCGCACCCCAAAATCATAATAACAGAAAAGGGGTAGGGTGGGAAGGGGAATAAATTGTTAGCTTCACGTAAGGATATGTAGATATTTTACAAGATAAAAACGAGTGGGTGGGGTATAGAGACCAGAACAAAATCTAATAGATTTTAAGAAATGCAAAATTTAGTCCAAACAAAATCCAGAAAGGAAATTTGCCTTGGAAATAGTCGAGTTTTCAAATACGAGAAAAACTATTGAAGGCTTTATCTCAAATCTAGCAGAGATTTATCATCTTTCCAGGGTTTGAACTTGCACAGAGCTTTATTATCACACAAAAAGTTCTTATTTAAGGATAGAAGAGACTGAATGGCATTTGCTCCAGATGTTTACCAAACACGTACTTAAATGCTGAAGTGGGAAAAAAAAGAAGAAAGCAAATGAAAGGTATAAATTCATAAGAACAAAGAAAATGAGAGGAAATGAAATTAGAGGATTTTCTAAAAGCTGGGGCGGCAAATGTTTTAGTGACTCAAAAAAAAAAAAGCCTAAAGAAAGTAAATCCTAAAATAACACCAACCTCAAAAATAGGTGTTACAGATCTCAGGAAATAGGAACAGGGAAAGATAAATACGTGAACATTTAGGTTTCCTTTCTCTGGCATAATACAGTAACCCTCCCCCTTACAGCAAAGCAACAACTGGAAATTTCCTCTCTAGAGCAAGCGAAACATAGGACATCTGATACAGGGGACAACCTGAAAAAAAAAATTAAAAAGTAATAATAGAAAACCCTTTTTAAAAGGTTAAGACTGTCCATATATTTAATCTCTCTTGTATCATCTGTGAAAAAAAATTTGTAAAATTTCATAATGCTGGCATAAAAAAGGGAATTTTAAGAACATCCAATGTCCAGAGGCACAAAATGCATTAAAAAGAAAAAAAACTTTTATTTTCATTACTATCAATGCTTTTAACACCTATTGTGTTAAAATCATCTTCACTGTGAAATCATCTTCAACAAGGTAACAAAAGCAAAAATTAACAGATGGGACAATATCCTCTAAAAGTGCTTCTGGACAGCAAAATACACCATCATCAAAACGAAAATATAACCCACTAATGGGAGGAGATATTAAAAATAATTTATCTGACAAGAGATTAATATTAAAATATATAAAGAATTCACAAATCTCAACAAGAACAAACCACACTGATTAAGTATAGGCAGAGACTCTGAAGAGGCATTTTTCTAAAGGACATTCAGATCCAAAACAGGCATAAAAATATTCATCATTTATAATAAAAAGTGAATTAAAAAAATCACCTTTGTAAATATGAGAATGGCTCTCATGTAAAAGAAAAGAAAAATGAGAAAGACTAAAACCTTATAAAATACTGGTAGAGCTGTAAATTGATACAACTACTAAGGGAAACACTATTGAGCTTTCTAAAAAAAAAAAAAAACCAAAAAAACCAAAAGTCTAAGAACAGAAATACATTAAAAGGCATCTATTCTACTCCTTATATGTCTATAAGGGCAGTGATTTAATAAAATAACTTTAAAATACATATAGATACCTAGGAGCGATAGCACAGCGGTAGGGCGTTTGCCTTGCACGCAGCCAACATGGCCGACCGAGTTCGATTCCTCCACCCCTCTCGGAGAGCCCAGCAAGCTACCAAGAGTATCTCGCCCGCACGGCAGAGCCTGGCAAGCTCCCCGTGCTGTATTCAATATGTGATGTATTCGATATGCCAAACACAGTAACAACAAAGTCTCCCATGGAGACGTTACTGGGCCCGCTCCAGCAAATGGATGATTACCGGGAGGGCCTTTACTGACTTACTTACTTATTGCAACGTTAGTTTAAATAGCAGAGATTTGGATACAAACAAATTAACTGCTCAAGTGAAGATGTGGTGCTGGAGAATTGAAGGAAAGCAAAGCAGTACTCTAGCTCTGTTATATCTTGCAGGCAGAGCAATAAAAATATTGAAACCACTGTTCCATAGGGAATTCACTGTAGATTAAAATTTATCAAAAAAAAAAATGGGGGGGAGGTGGCATACTGGCTGTGCTTAGAGCTTACTCCTGGCTCTGTGTTTAGAGATTGCAGGCTGAGGGCAGGGACCATATAATTGGTGCTGGGGAGTGAACCGGAATCAGCTGCATGCAGGGCAAGCACCCCATACAGTGTACTATCTCCTGGTTCCTGGAGACTAAAATTTAATATTGTGCATGGTTGTATTTATATATAATACTATTCAGCGATAGCCGGGGATGGAGCTACAGCAGAGCGGGTAGGGCGTTTGCCTTGCACGCAGACAATATGGCCAACCTGAGTTTGCTTCCTCCGCCCCTCTCGGAACGCCCAGCAAGCTACCAAGAGTATCTCGCCCGCACAGCAAAGCCTGGAAAGCTACCCTTGACATATTCGATATGCCAAACACAGTAACAATTGCCACAATGGACACTTTACTGGGCTCGCTTGAGCAAATAGATGAACAATGGGAGGACAGTGACAGTGACTAATAATTTATGGCCAGACAGTACTGAGGTTCCATTCCTGGCATCAGATATGCACTGCCAGTAGTTATCCTTGAGCAGAGTCAAGAGTAAACGCTGAGCACCACTGCCTGTTGTGGGCCAAAAACAGAAAAAGAAAAGAATCTTAGACGCCAAGATTTCTAAATGATAGGCAACAAAAAGTTTTAGCTACTGTAAGTGGCAAAGCAGTTTTATACAGAATGAAATTGAACACTTAAGTCCAAAATAATACGATAAAACTTGAACTTGATTAATTTGGGGGCATTGTTTTAAGGCTTTCACTCATTGCAAATGAAAAAGTTGGTTTTTATTGAGTAAGTTTCTGGTCTGTTTCTTTATCTAAAGACAGTACCTTATATTCT